AAGTGCTCAAGTTATTGGAAGAGCAGACCTCTTCCCCTTCTCCTTGTGCTTCTTCCCACTTCTTTCCCTCCTCTCTCTCCACTTCCCCTCCCCGCCTTTCCTGCTTCTATTTTATGAACAGAAAAGTCTCAGTGTACTGCTTATGAGAAGCCAAGTCTGAAACTACCACACCTCTTTCATAGCTTCAGAATATCCTGTTTGATATCATTGGAAACAGACTGGGCCAGCAGTGAAACTCATCCAAAATGGTTGAGTGGGCACTGTTTAGAAGAAAGGCACTTTTTTTTTTTTTTTTGGTCTTTTTGAGACTGCATCTCACTATGCAGCTCAGGCTGGCCTTAAATTCACTGGCTTAAATTCAACACCCAGGCTGGTCTTGAACTCACAACAGATCCTCCTGCCTCAGCCTCCTGAGTGCTGGGATTACAGGCATGTGCCACCATGCCCAGCTATTGGCATGATTTTAAACCATGACCTCTTAAACCATGACATCTGCACTGCTGTGTGCCTAATAGTACAGGGTCCTCCACCTGCTAGATTGGCCGTCTAGAATTTGAAGCTTCCCACAGTTGGATTTTGCACACTGAGATAACCTGGGACATGTGGTGCTTTGTGACTCCGTACACGGATGTAACAGATTTTAAAGGAAAAACAGTCATCAGGTTACTTGGAAAGCACAGGAGCTGAGCCTCATAGGGGAGAATAGATGGTGTCAATGAATTTATTGAGACTGCTTTTCAGCAGCATAGGCTGTTTTAGTTTCTGACTCAGCAGATGTAGAAGAAAGCTGCTACTGGTGACATTTACCAAACAACCCCCCTTCCTCTGAGAAAAGTAGCAAATGCTGCAGGACAAGGATGAGGTCTGAGCTTGAGTTGTGCAGTGGTGCTCACCACACCATCACCTTCATGAATATGCCCCTGCCCCGCAGTCTATTTCCGCTTCTCACAGTCAATCCTTCTTCCCACCCTTCTCACCCTTCCCAACCTGCTCAGCCTGCTCCTTTAGCCATAGGCGATTCACTGCCAAGGTGGCTGCCAAATGGGCTGGTGGGAAGCCAGGCCTGCAGGAAACAGAGGGTCCTGCCAAGAGCATGAACTGAAGGCCCCACAGGTCAGCTTCTGACTCCTCTCACAGCACAAGCATGGCCTGTCTAAGGCAGTGCCTGCTGCTTTAACAAGAACACCACAGTCTGGGCAGTTTAAATAACACACATAGTCTTCACGGTTCAAGAGGCTCTCAGGTCTGAGATCAGGGTCCTTGCATAGCCAGGCTCTGTAGAAGGTCCTTTTTCCAATTTCCTCACCTGAGGGCAAGTCTTTCTTGTCACTTCTTTTAGGGATTAATTCCATCTTGACCTAATTTCCTTCTACAGCTGTGTCTCCAAAGCACCCCATTGGAAATAGGGGTTTTGACATGAATTTGAGGGCGACACATTCAGTCTACACAGCCTTCAGCCTCATTAAAACTTGCACTAGATTAGAAATCACTGCTGAGTCCCAAGGAAGCTGGCTGACAGAGAGAGCTTCATACTGTTACAAGCATGGGTGAAGTGGAGAAGGTGGCAGTGATGGAGGCAGGAGTGCCACAGTGTTCTTTAAAGCCAGGTTTAAGTAGCTTCCTCAGAAGGCCATTTTGGAAATTTCTGAGCTTTTAATTGCTTGGATCAAACAAAGAAAAGCCAGTTTTGCCTTCCAACTGCACAGCATAACAAGCTTCAAAACAGATGGCTTTCCCAGAGTTTTTTGTACCTCCAGGATCAGAGCTGTGGTCTCCAGGGTTTGTACACAGAAGCCCACCGGAAGCCACATGTGAAGTGGCTCCTTTACATGTGGGTGGGAGGAGGCTCCTGGGATTGCTGTGAGCTGGCCTGGGTCACTGACTTTAGCCTACTCTCTGTTTCTTTCCCTTCCTTGGGTCCCACCATGAGTTGATACAGGATGTACAGGCCCTGTTTGGTCACAGAGGAAGGTTATAAATTGGGAACTTGCCCCTTGGGTGATGGAAAGCTTAGGCACTGTGGTCTTCACCCAGCCTCTATCCTCTTGGACTTTTGGGTTCCAGGCTGAGGACATTGTAATTAGAGTTGATTCCTGTTGTTGGTAACTGGATCACTAGTGTAGTAACAAAAGAGACAAGGGGAATTCATGGCTGTATTTCTCTTGCAGGACTAGGGGGGCCAGGAAAGAAAGATACTGGCATTTAAGAGAGGTGAGCCCAATGGAATGGTGCTGTTAAACCCAGGGAATGGGACCCAATCAGGTACGGTCCTCAAGCTTGTTACCTACATGACTGATAAGTTTCCTGTACCCTGTTAGGTGGTGACCAGTGAGCACCAGTCCATTTGCTTCAACTCTGGTTCCTGTTCTTTCTGGTAGCCTTCCTGTTCTGGTAGCCAGGTTCCTGTTCTTTCCCCATGGCCAGGAGAGCTGGAACTTGGAATTAAGGGACAGCATTGATCACTGAGCCCCAGCTGCCTGCTTGTGACTGTACAAACCCTGGGGACCTTGATCAGCACCTCTGATTATTAAAAGGATTCCTGGTATGTTCCCAGCAGAGGGCTTTGCATGATCCAGCTATCAGAAAATCACTAGATAAAATATGTTATAGGCTTTCACTCTTTCTGGTGTGCAATTTACCAGAGTAAAGTCAGGGAGAGTTGAGAGAGTGGAATGAGATTTTTTTTTCCCTGAGAGGAAGATCTGCTACACACACAGCTCAATAGACACCAGATAGGCTCCTCATGGGGTAGGAAGAGCACAAGGGAACTCAGGCTACCAGTAGCTGGTAGGGGGAGGAGACTGGCAGACAACTCTGAACCAGAATTGTGGTTTTATCAGTCTCACTGTTCAGCTTTTGTAAGTCCTTTTAGTGACTTTAATGTGTGTTCTTCCAAGCTACTTGTTATAAATCTGACAAAATCCAATGGTCTCCACTCTACTTGCATTAATGGTGATTCAGGTTATGCCCTCCTACTCTTGCAAGATGGAAGAGAACTGAGAGCTGAACTCAGATTGGGTTACACAAATTTAATCACTGCCCACAGCAACTAGTCCCGGCCTCCTCTTGGTGCCCCATGTCCCTCCCCCTCACTGCTTCCTAAACCTGTGGCCCCCAGGAGCGTGCATCTTGCCATCTTTCATGTGAATAAAAGAAATAGACCTAATCCAGAACAGGTGTTTGGGTCTTCCCAGGTCACATCCTGACAAGATGTTTTTTTCCCCAGTGTGAGGTATTGAACACAGGGAGTTGAGCACGCTAGGCAAGTTCTCTAGAGCCCAACCTGGTCCTTGTGGGGGCACCAGAGCAATGCAAAGACGACTGTGTCAATGCAGGTGGGAAAAGACAAGAGGTCTAAGCTTGGCTTTAGAAACCTGACCCAAAGCTCCTAAGCCACCTAGCTTTGAAGAAGGCACTGGATTCACTGTCTTCAAGAAGGGGAAAGGGAGAAGTGAACAGATTTGCTTTGGAAAATCCTTGTCACTTCAGGTATGGGCAGTACACAGGGTGACACATGAAAGAATCTATTGGTGACACCCAGGAACACCAATGTGCCATATACCATGACAGCTTTGTCACAGATCTAATGGTGTTACCTTCAGAAAGGTTACACCCATGGTCAACATCTTACAATCAATCACCATGGGAAGAAGTGACTTCAATCAAGTGCATTTTCTGAGGGACCCTGCGACTGTTTCAAATGTTTGCTTCCAGGGTTGTCTTGTCCTATATACCCACCCCAGGAAGCCAGAAGCACATAGCTGGCACCTGGAACACCAGAAGTACTTCGTCTTGTGTCACGCACTTCTGTGTGTGCCCTGCGCACTTGCTTTATTCCCCACTGTGGCTTTACTATGCTGTGCAGGTGGCTTTTTGTGTGACAGCTGCCTTGGTGTTAAGTGCTCTGTCCATGGAAGATTTCCAGTCCGAAAAACAACAGCAGCAGCAGCAACAACAACAAAATACTACGTGCCTCGTGCATCGTATGTGCTTTTGATTATGCAAAAGGAAATCTTAAGGGGACACTCAGTAATGGACTAGGCCCTATCTCAGCATCAACCTTGGCTTGTGTGAGTTGACCTTATCAGTTAAGATCACCTCCTTTTCATTAAAATGGCTAATGAATAATGTATCAGAGCTTAGTTTAAAGATTCAGGTATGTTTTCAGACAGAAATATTACAAGAATGCAAGTCAGGTATAGTTCTCAGATAAATAGCAGTGGGAGCTCTTCCCACAGAGAAATTCTCCGCTCTCGGGTTTCTGGAGGTTGAGATCCAGGGCACGCGTCATTAATCATTCATTGAGGTCCTTCCTCAGTCAAAGGCAGCTCTGAGTAAGCTGAAGCTCCTACTAGCTAATCCTTCCTGCCAAAGGGATCCTGGGGCGAGAGAGGACAACTGGGCAGTGGGTCACATGTGCTGGTCCCTCTTGCCTGGGTCAGAGAGTGGCTGGGTACCTGTGTGTATGTGTGTGTGTGTGTGTGTTTGGGTGGGTGCGCGCGCCCATCATTCTCCCACGAGGAAAAACAAATTAGACATAATGTTCAGCACCATCCAGCACCGCGAGTCCAGAGTTTCTAACAGGAGAGCAGCTCCAGTCGTGGCACAGTGAGGGGCGTAGCTTCCTAAACGCGATAAACCCATCCCTATCTCCTTAATAAATTAGTAACAAACCAGCCTTCCCAGCAAACCCCGCCACACCAAGCCTTTCCCAACTTGGGCGGTGTGGTTCCAGCCTGTGAAGGCGGCTGAAGCATTCCCGGGGGAGGGGAAGAGCTGATGGAATCCGGAGGGGACAGGAGAGTAATCTGGAAATCAGGTCCTGGGTGGGCATGACTTGCTAAGCCAGGATGCTGGTGCGCGGGAAGGAGCGAGAAGTCACGAAGCCATTTCCATGTTTCCATCCCATTTCTGTCGGGGTCCCCGGCGCGCTCCCAAACCTCGTGGAGCACAATGCCCCGCGGAGGCGGTAGGCTCGCTGGGGGCGGGGAGCGGTGACCCCGGCAGCGCGGAGCGCCGGGGTGCGTGGCTCTAGGGTAGGGCGTCGGAGTGCGGAGTCTCCCGGCCGGGCTGGCGTCCCCTCCCACTGGCTCCGCGTCTCCTCCCTCCTCACACCCCCGCCCCCGGGACCGCGAGTCTCCCTTCCCGCACCGGCCGGGGAGTGCACAAAGCGGCTGGTGAGGGGAAGCGCGGCAGGCGTGCACGGAGCAGTGAGATCACTGGCGTTATAAATATCCCGGTGCCAGCGCCGAGATCGGCTCCGGTGGCCTCTCTCCCGCTCTCTCTCCCCCTCTCCCTCTGCCTTCCCCGAGGCTATGTCCACCCGGCGCGGCGAGGGGGGCAGCGTCAGAGGCACGCAGCCGCGCGGGGGCTCCGGAGCCCAGAGTCAGCCCTGCAAGATGCGTTTAGGACCCCCGCGGCTGGAAGAATGAGCTTGTCCTTCTTCCTCCTCCTCCTGCTCAGCCACCTGATCCTCAGCGCTTGGGCTCACGAAGAGAAGCTTGTGGCCCTCAAGGGGCAACCCGGATCCGCGGCGGCGGCTCGGAATCCGGGAGACTCCAGCAGCAGCCGGAGCGGTAGTAGCGCGACGTCTTCCGCGTCTTCTGCGCCCTCTTCCCCCGCGGCTTCTCGGGGCAGCCAGGGCAGTGGCTCAGAGCAGGGCAGTTTCCAGTGGAGTCCCTCGGGGCGCCGGACCGGTAGCCTCTACTGCAGAGTGGGCATCGGTTTCCATCTGCAGATCTACCCGGATGGCAAAGTCAACGGCTCCCACGAAGCCAATATGTTGAGTAAGTTGCTGGCCCTCCTGAAAACCTGTCCTAGGTGGACGGGCGGCGGGAGGTTCGGGAGGGACAGCGGGTGTTCCCTGGGGCTCAGGCTCACCTCCTGGAGTGGAGGCTCCTGGGGGCAGGCTGGGCGGGGATGCGTCTCCGTGGCGCGCACTCACCCCCTTCGTGGGCATGAGGAATGGCGATCCCCGAGGTATAGGTGACCCAGAGGACGGTGCACCAGCAGGCACCTTGTTCCCAGGATGCCCAGATCCCCAAAACCAGGCTCCAGCAGTGCTTGGGAAAGAACCTCAAACTTCCTTCTCCTCCTGGAGTAAACTGTTCCTGTTTACCTTCTGCCTGTGAACTACGCTGGCATTTTTTATTCAGCATCAAAGTGCCTCCCTTTCCCTGAACATAGCCCAAGTCATTTTCTTTTTTCTGTTTAGACGCAGATCAGATCTTAAATTTTCCCTCCTCCAAGCAGAACTATAAAGCCCAAATTAATATTTTAGGTGTGTATTCATATGAGTATACAGATATGTGTATTGCGCACACGTGTATATACACTTATGTGCACGCACGTGTGGAGAAGGGGGGAGAAGAATCTTATGTGGAGCACTGAAGTGATCTGGGAAACCGGACACGTTTGGAGAAGGAGAAATGATGGACATCGGAATTGTTAACTCCCGTGCTGGTTTTTAGCGACATGACAATACCATGTTAGGAGTATTAAACCTTTGATTCCCTGTACAATTACAGGAACGTTCTTCATTTTAAAAGGCACACAGGAGAGGTTCCATGTGGTGTGCTTTCAAATGGCGCAGGATTGTCTGCAGACCAAGTTTTCAATCTCCCAAGTTTTCTCTATAACGCACTTTTCCTCCTTTCTCTGAACTCTTCCCGTTCACTCCATCTCCGTTTCCAGACCATCGCAGCCACCCCTGTAATTCCCAATTGCTTCTTGGTAATACGGGGCGGAGGAGGTGACTTGGGGATGTGCCAGCGACTGGGGCAATCTCTGCGACACTTTGCCTCAGTTGGTCCCATCGCTTTTTTAGCCAGATAATACCACAGTCAGAAATAATCAGGGAGAATAGAGTTGGCCAAGAGGTAGCATCGCACCTTCTTCCCGCCCAAGAGTCAGTCTGGAAGGAACATGCTCTGGCCCAGACCAAAACCCGATGGGCCTGAAGCTTTCTGCTTATCCAGGCTCGGAGCAGCCTGAGACTTCAGAGTCCGGGTGACCACCTGCTAGGGGCTTGTGAGGCAGGTTTGAAAGTGTAAATGTCGAAGAAATGGAGGCCACCAAGCCTTCTCTGGTGGGTAGGTATGGGGGCTGGTTGTGAGGGAGCTGACTGTACTGGGACAGCAGCAGTTCCACGCCCTGCCCTCCCCCTGTGCCAGTTCGGTCCTTTGGGTGCACGGCTCCAGCTGTCAGATCTCGGTGGCGAGGTGTCCTGGAGTGCCCCTCCGAGAGCTGGTCCTGTCCACCCCAGTGAACCCCAAGGCCTGCACGCGCCTCAGAGGAAGCCTGTTTCCAAGTTCATTTTAGTCTTATCAGATGACTCCTGCCGCTGGTAAGAAAAGGGCATGCCGGTTTGTTGGTGCAAAGCTGAATTCTCAGATTTCCGAGACCTGAAGAGTCTGTCTAAGCATTTTTATTTTGTCCCATTTCAACTCCTTTCTACTACACATAAGCATTTATTCTTCACTTTGGCAATCTTTACTCTTTTATTTTTCTTTTTCCACAAATACTTTCTCTTTTCCCTTCTTTTTGTAATTTATGTAGGAAATCAGCCCAACCAAAGATAACCTTGTAAGACCTAACAGTAGCTAGCAGCACGCAGCAGTTTGGTGCTGAAATGATGTGTCTAGGTGGATTTCGGTGTGCTAGGGCATCTCTGAAAGCCAGGATGATCCCCAAGAATTTACCCTCTTCTCTACAAAAACACCATAGGAGTCAGAGATTCTTGCAGTTTAGGCCTTACTCCCAGGGGGAAGTCATAGAAAAGCAAACAAAGGAAAACAAAACAAAACAAAACAAAAAACAAAACCAAACAGGTCAACTGAGAATGCATTCAGCTAAAGAAATGATCACTACCTGTTATTTCCACGATAAGATTTATTTTAAAATCCACGTTGGACAATATCTGCAAAACAACAGAAATGTTGCCTAAATACTGTGTAAATAAAACTTAATGTTTGAGCTCTTTTCCCATTTTTTCCAATTTAAAACATCCCTTCAAAGTTTAGTCTGTCTTTCACATTACTTGCTTTTATTCTTTCATTCATTTTTGCACCCAGCCTAGGACACTTACCTCACTAAGCATGTTATTTTGCTTACTTTTGTGCTAGCTTTTGTTGTTTTACTTTGTCTTCTGTAAATTTGTCTCACGGAAGAACACATAACTTAAATATTTATGTCAGAATTGCTTTGCTTCCATTGTTCAATTAAGAATTTATAGACATATTTAGTAGGATAGAATGTAATTTTGAAGTTTGAAATGAGTCTCCACTCTTGCATAGGAATGAAAGAAAAGCAGTAGCTTGTTAATTGCAGTTGGTCATTTACTTCTTTGGTGGTAGCACTTGATAATTTCCTGAGATTTTGTAAAATAAGGTATTTGTCATGGACTATTGTGTAAAGTATATGAGGAAACATTTGTTTTGAGTTTTACAAGAGCTGGGTCAGGACCATAGAGGATACATTACTTTTCACCACATCATCTAATCCTACTATTTGCTATAAGCCAGCCACTTCAGAAAAGGCAAAACTTTGCCATGAAACTGCATTCCAATAGGTTCTTTTAAACACAATAAGATTTTTTTATATAGAAGAGGTAAACATATATGTGCTTCCCAATTCTCACTGGCAGATATGAATGTTTTCTAGTTTCAGCATGAAATGCATACTTTGACTATTGATTACATCTATTGGCTTCAGATGTAATTAGTAGTTTAGTATATTGATTAACATTATTTAGTTTCTTTTGCACAATAGTTACTCAGAGCTTTGAAGATGGAAAATGAAACCAAGCTCATTGCATAAAAACCCTTATTATGAGGAAATACTAGGAAAAGATTAAGATGGACAATACAAGAGACTCCATTCAACCATTGCCTTATCTGTTTTCAAGTTTAGTTTCAGTACAATGTTATGTGAACTTGTCTTGGGCCATTGAAGAGCAAGAAATTATATAATGGTTAATTTAGGGTGAAAAAGTTTAAAGCTATATTTTACTGCAAATCATTCATATAATATAAAATTTCTAGTAACGTATTTTGCCTAAGAAACTAGACACATATTTTGAATAAATGATTGGACTAATTTTTAAAAATCTGAATTCATCATCTTTGGTGTCATAGACTGCCTTTAGATAGCCCTCCAAGCCTCGATAAGCCGGAATCTGAAATGTACTATATGAAAAATCTCAAGTGGAAATTTTCTGTTACTAATTTAATCAGCAAAAGCTGCAGCATACATTGGATATTTCTGGATTCAGATTTGATAACTTGGCACAGCCTATCTACTGCTGTGTGAATGAGAATAGAGAAAGTTCCATTTTAAAATATTTTTTCTATGGAAATTTTCAGATGGGTTGTTGAAAGCTTTGAAATGCATACAGAGTCTGCATTTTTCTGGACTTTATTCACCAAGTCTAAACTAATGCAGCCTTATTTTACTGAAAATCCGAAGAGGATTAAGTGAGAGATATAGATATGGGTTTCATTACTGAAATACTATTTCTTCATAAGGTATGCCTCTCCCTATAAGTAAGGGATGAAAAGTATATATAATCTGAATTGCACTAAAAATTCCTGCTTTCTGCAACCTACATGCCAACTCTGCAAGCCTACCAAGAGAGATCACTTTCTTCTGTTAAGCACTGCCCCCTTCTTTTAATGTCTTAACCATGAACATCTTAGGACAGATAGTGCACGACCATTGGTGATTGGACATGGATTAATTTACAGTGAGCCCCCACCCCAGACAGCTGCAGAGGGAGGCAATAGCAAGGAAGTCCTGCCTGAGAAAACATGGGGTGTCCTGAAAAGGAGAAAGAGAGGCTCAAAAGAGACAGTTCACATAGACAGTCATGGACTACGGTGATGTGTGAGGCACATTTAGTCCTTCACATGCTGCTCTTGGCATCCATAAGGTGAACTGTCAATTTTCATCAAATTTATCCTTTCTGATTCCCAATGATAAGGATCCAGGAATTAGTAAAATTTAGAATGCTATTGTTAGTAAAATGTTCCTGGGATTTCTATGCATTGCTTAATGTATGTGGGTATTGAGATGTTAGCTTTAGCATTGTGAAATGGATAGAGTAGATAAGCCTGTGGTCTCTTGGGTAGGAGGAGCAGAAAGCTGAATTGTGAGGCTTGCAGAACTTGCTGCAGTATATTCTAGGAGATAAGGCGTTACGATCTTAACAGAGTTCTTAACAAGATCAGGCCATCATTACCTAATGATTTTTAAGATCAATATGAAAATTGCTATTGTAGAAAAGAATTCCATCTAATCTCGTCTTTTCTCTTCCATTCTTCATTAAATTAGATAGATACACGTATATAATGGAGTATTTTAAAGTTTGCAGCTAAATACAGTACAAGGTTCTAAAATAATACAATCTTTCCATTCTGAGAAAGTGTGTCAAATTTTTATTCTGGAATATATAACAAAAGAAATCATTTAATATGTAATAAACTAGCACTTTCACATATACTATTTAATCTTCTTCATATTTAAAATTGCAATACAAACTATACACAACACATATCGAATATATACTGTGTTGAGATATCAATTAAATGAAGTCTTTCTTTTAAAACAATATATCAGCACACAAAGCAATAATATTTTTATTAAGTAATTTTAAAGTTCTTATATCTTAACATCTTAGAGGTTAGCCTGCAAAAACATACATTAATGAGACTTGTATTTTAATACTATTATACATTTTTCCTTCAATATACAATTGATTTGAATGTGAAAAACCAAGTAGTTTACCAGTATGGAAATAAAATACAGTTTGGAGCCACGAGTCAATTGGAGGAAACTCAGCATAGCCAGGTCTACCCAAGTTGTCGCTTTGGTGTCAGTCATTCCTGTCATAGACGACTTGTCATGTTCTCCCATCTCATTTAACACGTTTACATCATATTCATAAGCACATCCCTGATCTCCCAAATATCTAAAATCGTTAGTGATATTCTCAATATCACTTGTAATTCTGATAGAAATGTAACTTTATATGAGATATTATAGTCATAATTTGATGATGATATTATTATAATGTTACATCTTTGCAATTTAACTTTGTAAAGTTAAATACACTCCATGTAACATATCTTTGTAATTTAGTTTCCAAAGTTAAACACATGACTTTATAAATTCTGTGTGCTTTGTTACTATTGGATAAAATGATAAAGCCTCTAAACGTGTGGGTGTGTATCACAATTTCTATAGCAAAATCTATTGTAAATAGCTTGTCAAAGGAAAGGACTGTAAGACACCAGTTTCTATGGTGTTATCTTCCTAAAAGCAAAAGTAATTCCTTCTAATTTTTTTAATAAAACAATTAAACTGGAATCTCCAGATTTTGTGAGATGTATTTTATTTACTCTGGGACAAGAATGTCTTTCATAAATCCAGTTTTTTAGCTATACTCTTTCCTCCAAGTTCCTTTGAGCTTTCTAATGAAGGGTATTTTTAGAAACTAAGTTGAATAAGTAAGCAGCACTCTTTACTGTAATTATAGATTCTTAGCTGGCATTGTACAATATAAATGCTTCATAACTTTATTCACCTATACATATGTGTAATCCTTCTTGTAAATTGAATAACAAATTTTTCTAGTGACATATCTTGCTGTGATACATACGCTTAGAACAGTGTAGATTAAAACACTGAGTTGTTCTTTTTCTCTCTTCTTTCCTTTCTAGACAGGTCCTGTTTTAGCTCTATATTGTTTTTTTCTTTTTATTTGCTTCTTTGTTTGCTACTTGATATAGTTAAATAACAAAAGATACATTTCTCATATTTCTGTAATATTATATATGAATTTATGATAGATTTCCAATTATATGTAACTATGAATTTCATCTTCTTAAATATTCTATGAAACTGTGGTGATTTTCTTCATCTAGTTCATGTGCACTTTGAAACTATTGCAGAAAACAGAGAAACATTGACTTGATAATGTTAACTATAAAACACAAAATATAAACAAAAGTGTAATAAAATCTCACCAATTTTTTTCAGGAAATGGATCAAAATGCAAGATATCTGAAAGCATAATCCATTAAAAAACTTCACTGAGCCAATAATCCCAAATCATCTTTGCTTTTAGCATCTTACTATGTATAGTCTTTAAATAAGCTAGTCACTAAGCGATTAAGCATGGCATAAATAAATATATACTTTTAAATTGTTATGATTAGAGAATAGGGATTTATTTTACACAAATAACAATTATGTCAAACTTTTGAATTGTTTATACCAGCTGTGAAAACAGACAATGTGCTTTAATCCTAAAAATAATATATTATCTTTAATGGAAAAGTAGTGAGAATCATTTCAAAAATCATTCAGAAAAAAATACGCTTTTTCAATTCTTTTAGAGCTCTTCAAGATACTGGTAGCCAAATCCTTGTTTAGTAAAAGCAACTTAATCATTTGCAGAGACAAAGACAGAGACAGAGAAAGAGGAAAAGAAGGGGAGAGGGAGAAATTGTCAATGAACAAGATTAAAATTTTATATTGAAATTAATCACTTAAAATATATATAAATGTTAGCCTTTTTGAAAACATAGTGAAACTCACCAAAGTGAAGGCATCAAATACTGCTTCTTTTTTTAACCATAGTACTAAAGAAGAGAAAGAATATGTAGAAGTTTAATTCTTCATATGATACATAGAAGAGTCTGTGTTTTATTTTGGGATTTCTGTCATCCTAGGTATTTTGGAAATATTTGCTGTGTCTCAGGGGATTGTAGGAATACGAGGAGTTTTCAGCAACAAATTTTTAGCGATGTCAAAAAAAGGAAAACTCCATGCAAGTGTAAGTAGAACTACTTTATATCTGTTATGGAGCTTTTATATTTGTAACACAGAATGAAGCGATTTTCCAAACCATTAGATAAGACAAACACTTGCTGAGAGAGGTTGATCTTTTTATTTGTAAATTTATATGTGCATATAACCAAGAGAATTGTTATGCGTATCTATAAGTAATCATTTAAACATTTTATTTACTCAAAAAGATATTACAGAAACTACAAATTTTAAAGTAAGCTTATTTGAAAATAATGTCCTCAAAGTTGATGTCATTTCTTTTTTCTTAGAAAGGCCCGAGCATAGAGAAATAGCACAGCAGTAAAATGCTACATAAAATTTTAATTTGCATGTGTATAGTGACCATGTGTGTGTTTCCTAGATGAAGTTCTGGTTTAATTTCCTAAGCTATTAATGATGTAAAAATTAGATATAACACATTTTCACATTTACAGAGATGGAAAATATTAGTAATGGAAAACCTTCCAGACAGATAGTCTATTTGCATTTGAGAAATTTTTTAACTTGTTATTTTTTTACTTCAAATTTCTATGAATTTCTAACACTATTAAGGTGAATTTTGCACTAAACATTTCTTTAGATCATCTGTATATTTTGTAATCCATTTACAAATTATTTCTGTGCTTCATTATGAAAATGCCCACCACCTTCAAGGTATCAGGAGATTTTAAAGATAATATGTTTAGCTTAGTTCTCATGCTCGGAATCTATATCTTTGTATTAGAATGTATCTATGACACTCATAAATGATTTGTTCTTTTTTGGAGGCATATTTTCTTCACATTAAAACATTTTTAAAAAGCAATTCTTCTTTAAAGTTACTCCTTTAATATTTATTCCTTAATTCTAATTAATACATTTCCAAATTGTCACCTTTCTAATTTAGACAGTTTAGTTCAGAATGAAATTAGTTGAGACTTACTATTTATGACTTTTATCTGTACAATTTTGAAAAATTCAGTGACAATTCTACTTGATTCTACATGTAAAATTTTTACAATTTTCTTTTACTTGGCACCTAAAAGTAATTTGTTAATAACTTTTGAAGGGCACTATAGAGTTGGAGCAATTCCTGTAATTATTTGAAGGTTAAATGAACTCATTTGTATAAGAAAAGGAAATTTCATGCATTGTAAATGCTCAATGAACATTTCTTATTATATGTAATAACCTAACTATAATATAGGTATGTGATATGTAATATATCATATATATAATGTAGAAAAGCTAACTATAATATACATATAATATGATAAACCAGTAATATGCCAGTTTACTAAATGAATGGAAACCTTTGTTAAAATTTTTAATCATTCATTACAAAAATTGTAAAATGATCTACCTGTTTAATTTGCTCATCTGGCTGTTATGCTGTAGCACCCTGTAATATAGTAATCTATAAAATAATTGCTCAGCTTAAGCAATTAAAAATAATTGATTTTTATTTATTTGGTTTTAGAAGCAAAACTTTGCATTATGAAGCATACATTTCATCTTGAAGCCATATTTGATTTTTAAATCTCCGTATACAGACTATAAAATAAGGAATAAATACTTCTGAACAAAATAATTTTTCTCAGTCTACTTTAAAATTGTAAAAGATTAGAAGACCTTCAGGAGCTATGCACTATAATACATGAAGAAACTGTTTTATTGTGTGTGAAAATCTTAACTTTGAAAAATTCTGAAACATGCACTAGTACATAAAAAAACCATTAAATTTGGAGCAGGTTAAGGATAATTGCTACAGAAAGCAAAGTATTATAAATGGATGCCAATTAGAAAGGTCAAACTAAGAGGTCAGAGTACATAATTCCTCTGTCAAATGGCAAGTAACAAATTTCTAGAAATTTGACCCAAATGTCTAAGGATGACTGGTGGAAATAATGCAGATAATGCAAAAACAGCATCTGTTATTTTTTCTCATCTTGGCAGGCTAAAGTTATTTCATGGAATAATGACTTTTAAACAGTACAAAGAAAGTCTTGCTCTTGTCATTCATTGAAGCTCTTTGATATAAAAGTCATTCCGAGGACTTCAAGCTGAATTGTAGATAAAAATTAAGCCCCGAGATGATGTGGATTCTTTTTAAACAGTTGTCCAAGCCTACTTTCTCTTATCTGAGCTTTTTTAGCACTTTTCTCTACATGGAAACTTAATTAAATTATAAAATGATTTATTTTTAAAGAAGTTGAATTCAGAAATTATCTTAATCCTAACAATTATCAGTTTTATGCCCAGCTGGTTTCTTTCCTGTTTTTAGTTTCTAGTTAATTAAACATGTTCAAAAATCTTCTTGTTACTTTAAATACAGTATGATTATTGGTTTAGTTTTGATTTTTGCAGTTACATCATCACCAAAAGGGCAATTAACTCATACTCTTAAGGTTAGATGTATAACTTGTGAGTTGGTCTAAATTAATAATTATGCAGCAGCATTTAAAGCATACCTTTAAAGTTCTATGTGCAAAGTAAATGTGGAGAAGAAATGTGACATATTCATATAATTTTAGGGAACATAATCCCCCAGTTCACTGGGAAATATGTATAGGTAATTGTAGATCTTCATCACTGTATTTACAGTAAAAATCAATATTAGAAATTAGTTACCATTATCCCAGGCAGGGATAATATATTTTCATAGTTCTATAAAAGCTCTTGCACTCACATTACCCTGTTAGATAATGAGGTGAGGAAAGAGGCTGAGAAGTTAAATTATTTTCGTAAAGTTACACACTTTAACAAGTGACTGAACCAGAACTACATCCACTTAAAATTTTTTTCTCTCTCTCTTTAAATGTTTTAATGCTAGTTAGATCAGAGTTAACTTGAAAGCAAATACTACATGTTGGAACCAATTACATTCTTTTCACCTACATAGAGGAATTAATAAATACATGATTTAGTAATATTTTTGTATAATGTGTAAAAAATTAATACTGTGGCACATCTTTAGACTGTTTGTAGCACTCTATTAGCTAAATAGGCAATTTTAGATATGTAGTTAAAATTGCAAGATTCCTTCTTGTTGTCCTTCATACAGAACACTTTTCATCCTGCTCTTTTTTGCCTCTTAAACCCTCCCTTCCTTCTGTCTCTGAGACTGGATTTTAGAGTCTAGACAGGAGGGCCTGTGTCTGCCATGAGACTCAGCACAGACTTACAAACGTTGGTTATTCAGCATGGCCATGCATTGCTCAGAGAAACACTTTTAAGATGAAATCTCCAAACACCAAAGATTTGTTTTGTTCATAGAAATCGTCACAAGATGGCAAACTGCAAGCTGAGAATGATTAGACTGAGGCAGCAGTGATGTTGAGTTTGCTGATTCATGAGAGAAGTCTCATTTCAACTTCGCTGTCTAGATACGCTGGGCTCCCTGCACTCTTTCTAACCTGACAGCTATTTCAGCTCCCTATAAAACCTTTAGGATACTCTAAGTACACAGTGTGGTTGAATTCCTACTGTACGTGGCGGGGGTGTCTCAGTGTTCTTTACAGGAAGAAGGTGTATGGTCTTCTAGAATATGTCAGGAATCAGGGAGAGTGGGAGGAGATAATTGCTTCCCAGACAGCCACGAGGTTAGTCAGAGCCATCCCTGTGGCCTCTGCCTTTTGTCTCAGCACATCCCCATGCAGAGGTACTTTTGGAGACTGAGTGCCCTTCTCTGTTTCTCTGTTTCCCATCTGTGCCTGCTCCCTCAGAATGGAAGCCCTTATTGAAAGTCTCTGGATTTTTTGTGGTAGGGCCAGTTTGCAGATTTAAAGCCCTGGAATACAAGGTTGAGGATACAGATCACCCAAGGACAAGTCCAACCCCATTACCTACTGTGTCTTTTTACTATTTATATTCCTTAACTTTTATTATAACAAAAAGGGGAAATTATAGTAACCATGTATCATTGATGATGGAGCGTTTTAAATGAGATGGTTTGTATAAAACACTTAGTAATGCCTAGAGAGTATTTAGCACTTAACATTCAAACAGATCTTCCTGAATTTGCCCTCTAGCAGCTGTCTGATGACCCTCAATTTCTGTCTTTATGATTTTAGTGTTAGGCAGCTGTGACCTTTCAGTTATTTAGACAGGTTTCTAATCCTGTTTGTCATTGACCTTTGTTCTTTGGTGTAGACATTTTATTCTACAAGAGCCCCTTATTGATGGGATTTTATTTTTTCTAGGAAACCTAATTTGTAAGCAGAATCTCTTTAACTTCTGCTCTTAAAGACACAAAGATTTTCTAAGGTCATAATCTTGTACTTTCTTCCAGCCCTACTGCTTGTATTGTTTTTCCCTAAAAGATGTCAATCCTGGGAAAGATAGTTATCACATATTCTTCAACCTTTTAATAGATGATGTAAGATATCCCCTTACTTATCTGGGTAAAATATGTTAGCTTATTTTAAAGATTCAGAGAGAGGCATGTGGTGGGATTATTTTTATTTCTCAGGGTTTTAGGGGATCATATTTGGAAGGAAAGCTAATTGCAGCGTTTACGAAATAGGCATGGAATGTATGCTTGATCAGCCCTAAGGAAGGACCAGAACATCCTCCTTGCCTGGTTGCAGAGGTTGCCAGCTGGCTGGCCCTGAGGAGAGGCTGGACTGGACTTCCGGCTCTGGGGGCTGAGGGAGGAGTAGGCAGCAGCCCCTAAAGCTGGGCATGTTTACTGAAAGGGAAAATGGAGGCTTGAGCAATACTTAACATTGGCTTTGAAAAATAACCTATTAAGCTCTACTCTGTCAGTCAAAACTATGAGCTATATCAAGGCGTCTGCACAAATACTGACTTTACTCTGTAAGAACTTTCCATTTATGATGGTAAAATCAAGTGTCTCATAACTGAAGAGGAATAGAGCTCTACTTTTCTGATTTTAAGGTCCATCCCTTAATTTGTGCAGTCTGGAAAACCGGCAAAAAGGCCTACTTTATTAAGGAAATTTTGGAGTGATGAACTGATGTACAACATCAGGGATTTATGTCAAGGGTTGGAGTCACATTGCTCTGACATCTAGGAAGGCACTTGTCTTTTCTCAGTATTGTAACATAGAATGACTCAGCAGGATTGTAAGAAAGCTGGGCAGATGGTGTGGGTTTGCACAGTATTATGGCAAGAGCTTTAGTCCAGTCTGGCACTTGATATATGTGGGATGTTAAGGGGCTCATTTTCCTTACTTCTCTGATTCAAAGTCAAATAATTAATTGTATTCAAATAGGATGGAGTCACTGTAAAAAGTCAATAATACAGGCAAACCACTGGGCACAGACTAGCTTTCCATACCCAGCTTTGTACAGCTAGTAAGGGCATCAGAACAAAAGCTGCTATCTACTGTCATGAGTCTCTTTGTGGGTTTTTAACCTCACTTGCTGCAAATCACCTGGGATGCTGGGTGGTACTGAGTCCAGCTTCTGACTTCACGCTTACTAAGTCAATCTTTGGAGATGGGAAGAGTCTGCCTATTAAACTGGCTCCCTAAGGAATTGTAAGACAATTCACGAAATTAGGAAGGAAGATCCTGTGGTTGATATTTCTCACTACATAGGAAGATTAGTTAGTGTTAAAGCCAGCGTGCGTACCTCCTTGGTTGCTCAGCAGGCAGAACTGAGATATCAAATGGACAGATGTACAGCATCAAGCAGACCAATGGCCCATGCTGGGGGGCGGATAGTAGGGAAGGGGCCGACTGATCCACATGCATTTCATGCAACACAGAGTGATGGGCAGTCCCTCTGGGTGCACAAAGCTCGGCGTCAGGCAAAGCCACACCAAGTGGCCTGAAATGGGGTAGAGAACCAAAAGGAGGCATGGGAAACAGAAGCATGCATGAGTGAGGCTTGCAGCAGAGGAACTTTGCTTGAGCACAATTTGGTTAGCAGTTGTTTTTACTATGGTTCACACTAAGGTTTTAATCACTTAGACATAGTTAATTATTTCTTAGTGTAAGATTTCGGGGATAACAAAGAGGCAAGTCAAAGAAATCAAGGTGAAATAGAGAATTAAATTTGTCTACATACTTCACAGATTTTGAGGCTTACACTGGTGTGCACCCAAATTCACTTGTATCACTATACCTGAATATTCACTTCCATAATTACACAAAATGTGAACTGTTATTTTTTTAAAGTCCATTATGTTGACTTTATTTTTCCTAGGGAAATAATACTTCTTTTGTTTGTTTGCTTGCTTTTTAAGACAGAGCCTCCCCATGTAGTCCAAGTTGGCCTTGAGCTGGCAATTCTCTGTCTCAGCCTTACAAGTGTTGAGACTGCAGACATATAACACCTCACTCAGATCCTTAGGTATTCTAATACTCTAGAATTTAAAAAATATACAGTTTATTAAAGGACTTCTTGCAATTCAAAGGAGAATTTAAATGTGGAAATTACTCTGGACAATTTATTATCCAGAATTGCCTATTATTATTAAATGTGTATGCTACAATCTGTAGCTAAGACCTATGCTTTCTGGATGGGCCTGCTACCAGGATGTCACATGCATGACATTACATACACAGGTGCTCTGCTTAGGGTTACCCTCTTGTCTAAGCAAAGTTATGATACTGACAAGAGCAGTCAATCTTTTAGGAAGAAATTGGATCTCCTCATTAAAAAGTCACTAAAATTTTGTTTCCAGTGGTTCTCTTCCATCAGAGCTAGAATAATTTTTCAGACAAAACATTAAATGAGAAGTCAACTAAGAGAGTCAAAACAGTCTGACTGCCTCGACTCCTATAGGATTTGGGATGGCTGAGGGGCTTTAGTAGTGTGTGTGTTCTCAGAACCCTGAGAATTGTTTCCCTGTGAGGCAGGTGGTCCTTAAAAACCTATAGCCCGAACAGTCTTCTCCTTCAAGGCTCCTTTAAAGAATGTGGTTCTCAGGAAGAAAGAAAAAAGTTATAACATGGAATGATTTTATGTAGTGAAGTATGTGGATTTACACACATGAGAAATTCTAAGAACTGATGCGGACTTTTCAATGTGCTATGTTGTGTGTGTGTGTGTGTGTGTGTGTGTGTGTGTGTGTGTGTGTGTCTGTGTGTGTCTGTGTGCCTGTGTGTGTCTCTGTGTGCTCATCAGCCATATCAGTGGAAAAATAACATGTCCTTTATTTTCTTAGACAATATAAGGGGAAATAAAGACTAAATAATGCAGTGCATTTTAAAACCAAAATTGGGTAAAGCAATCACTGCTACTTTTGTGAAACAGAGGTAGGAATAAGGTCAAGCTAAAGGATATTCATATAAAAACCATTATATATATATAATAAATATGGAATGTATGTTATCAAACTTCTTTTCCTAAAAATACTTTTCTGTGAGTATGTGGTACTAGGAATCGAACACAGGGCCTCATATCTGTTAAACAAATGGGAAGTGTTCTCCTACTGAGCTACAGCCCCAGCCTCTGTTATTCTTCTTCATGAAATGTTCATGCCATTCTACAGTGCTTATTTTTTTATGGAGCTGGAAACATTTCAGATGGCTATAGAATTTATTTTAAAATAAAACTTTGAGATTATTTAATTAAATGAGAGTGCTTTTAAGAGCACAGCAGCTGTAGACAAACTTATATATAATTTGTAAAAAAGTATTTTTAATAAAAAAAAATGGGAAGCAAACTGTGCTTTTCAACAGTGATGTCCCTGCGGCCCCCTTGGTTCACATGTAGGCCGGCAGGCTGTAGCACCGTAAGAGAGGAGCTCCACTCACACGGTGGCTTTTCGACACGCTTGCTCTCAGCCTGCTGGAGATCAAATCCAGACATCCGCCTGCTGAGTTGTGGAAGATGTAGATACATGGCTTCATAGCTCCCAATACAGAGCCTACAGAGCTTACTGCACCTAAAGGCAGATAACTCAGGTACACTGTTTCACATAAGGGAAGTATGCTGCTGCCCATGCTCTGATACTGGCTGTCTTCTGATACTGTCAGTGCTCTGCACAACAGTGGACCTATATAATTTGCCTAGCAGTATTCAGATTTTCAGGTAATGATGTTGTTACCTGTATTGAGAGAAGAGTTTGCCATATTGTAAAAAAAGAATCATTTAATCCAGTATAGAATATCTTGCCTAATACAGAATTATACACCTTTTAGAGTTTTCATATATGAGAATGAAAAAAAAATTTTCTGAGCCAAGAAATTCTATGAAGGAAGCTCCCTGCCCTTGTGAAACTTGGTAGTCTGGACTAGTGCAGGAATTCAATTCCTTAGAGTTTATGGACTTGTGAATTCACTGAAAGTTACGGATCTCTCCCAAAGAAAGATTGTGTGGATTCTCACAGAAGCCCTACAATTGTAAGCTTTAAGGATAAGGAGCCAAAGGTTAAGAGTTCGTTTGGCAGAGATGGCATTTGGTAGCATTTCTGACCTAATGCTCATGCTCTTTATCCCATTCGTTTTCTCAAAATTCCTCAGTACGGCAAACCAAGCCCTTTCAACCTCTTCTGTTCTTTCCCTGACGCACCCACCTAGAAGTCACACTGAACTGCTTGCAATTATTCCAAATATCTTGTTCACCTTCGAGCGCACTGCTCCTGCTCCCCACATGTTCACTGCCGACTCGTCTCCCTTGCAATGCCTAGCAGTACTTGAAGACTCCTCTCAAATGTCAGACTCTTTTAGGAAGATTTTTCTGCCCTTTTCCCTGCCCTCTCTTCAGTGCCCTTTTTTTGTCATCATTGTATCTTCACGTGCTGCTGCCACAATTCCGTTTATCAAACTACCCATGAATGATGATGTCTTCTGGTCTGTTTTTCCATCACTCTGTTACTACTTCAAGGCCAAATATTGTGTGTGTATGTGTGTGTGTGTGTGTGTGTGTGCAAGGTATGGCTGAAACGTTGCTTGTGACTCTGGGATGTTTTTTCTTCTTGGCCTCAGATGCACTCTCCTGTATCCTACTTGTGAAGATACAGTTTCTCTGAAAGAACGCTAACATGTGCATTATCAATAGGGCCATATGCTCCCCTTCTCTCAGCAACGTGACTTACACTGATCACACTGAAATATGCACGCTTGTTCCAAAGGAATAATCTGACCCCATTTCTTAAAAAGCAGTGTCTTCTCAGACATTTGTTTCTTTGTAATATAGTTCTCCTTTTTCTTGGTGACTTAAAGGAAAAATTCTGCAAAGAAATTTAACTACAAAGTATTTTTAAAACAGCAACAGTATTTAAATGCATTCTATTAAGAGTTTTTAATGTTTAAATGAAGAGTTCCAATTATCATTTGTATTTACATTGGTATTATGTCACCAAGCACATAGTGAATAGGAATCATCGTTTCAAAGATAAATAATGTAGGGATATAGAAACAAAAATGGAAATTTTAAAACAACCTTAAAAGAAGCAAATAGAGAGCATTATAGAGAATGCATTATAGAGAAAGCATTATAGAAAATGGAGGAGACAAGCGAGGGATCAATAAAATTTTTGATTTGTCTTTTTGATTTAAGACCACATTTTATTATAAGCTGAAAATATTACTACAATTTAATTTTCTTCTTCTTTTCTCCTGTAGGCCAAATTTACAGATGACTGCAAGTTCAGGGAACGATTTCAAGAAAACAGCTACAATACTTATGCTTCAGCAATACACAGAACTGAGAAGACGGGGAGGGAGTGGTACGTAGCCCTGAATAAAAGAGGGAAAGCTAAGCGAGGCTGCAGCCCACGGGTCAAACCCCAGCACGTCTCTACCCATTTTCTACCAAGATTCAAGCAATCGGAGCAGCCAGAACTGTCTTTCACTGTTACTGTTCCTGAAAAAAAGAAGCCGCCTAACCCCGTCAAGCCAAAGGTCCCCCTCTCCACGTCTCGCAGAAGTCCCAACACAGGGAAATACAGACTCAAGTTTCGCTTTGGATAATGCTTGTGTTGGCCTTGGGAGAAACCCTTGTATTCATTCCATCAGGAATTTCTACAGGTGTCTTCCAAGCTCTGAAGAAAAATTTTCGGACACAGCTTCAGCTAACCTTACACTGTCTGGAAGCCAGGTCACTTGTTTCAGTTGGACTGAAACAAAACTGTTTTTTGATAGGAATGGAACTGGAATTCCTTGTACCACTACAAGGAATATACTGCTTTGGTTCAGGAACACGGAAAGCCTTTTGCTTTCTACTTAGGGGATATTTAGAATTCTGCATTTCAGGAAGTTAAATAGCCTGGACTTTGTATTTTTGACTTTTATAGATCTACTCAAAAATACATTATGCATTTTTATTTTTGGTTTCCAAAGAATATTTTGATGCAGATAAAATATTTTATTAACTTTTTTCTTTTATTTTTAAAGTAACTCTGCATTGAGCATATTTTCTTACTTTTCTTATTTCAATTAATATCACATTAGTAATCATTTTAATGCTGTTTATGAATTATAAATAAGTTTGTAGCTTATTTGTAACATGGATTTCTTTTGTATTTTTCTATTCAATACTTTATTGTTATTTTTAGTTTTTTTTTTTCTTAGCCACACCTCAGGTAATGTTTAGTTCTACATTATAAAGTGTTTAAATTCTCTTGCATAGCACCAAAGGCTCGGTTTGAATTTGTATGTGTTTGTATGTGTAAATTCACGAAATGTGGAACCTTACCCTTTTAGTGGCTGAGTTGTATAGTAATGGTTAGAAGTAAGAAGAAAAACCTAAGGACATTTTGATGGAATTAAATGTAAGAGGTGAGGAGTAAGGTTAGAAGTGAAAGCACACTACGCGTGTAGCACTGATTGGGATCTAATTCTGTCTTCCTTTGCTTCACCTTTTACCTACCGCCTGCCCTCATTCTTGAACAGCTGAAGGAATACATATTATCTGTCCATTAAGCATACGCTGTGAAATCAGAGAGCTTAAAAATGCTTCTGTGAGCCTCTGCCATGCTTACAGTGTAGATCCACAGGGAGCGTGACCACTCAGAGGGGGGAAGATGGAGCCTGAATGAGAAGAATCACTGAACAGCTACCCATATCAAGTCATTCTGTCCAAATATTCATATTACTCAAACATCCTTTGGGTATCCCATCCTAAAAGTAACAATTCCAGTGAATAGATCTGCCCTTTTATAAGGAAACTTTCTGATGTATATTTTAAAAAAGCTGGCTTGTGATATGGAAAACTTAACGTAGCAATTGGATGAGTTGAAAATGACATTTCATTGTCAACCCAAGTGCTGAATGATGCACATAAATCACAGAAAAGTTAACTTATGAATATTTACAAAATATATTTTCTTGGGCGATAATTTTTATGGTGTTCTATGGAATACAGTGTTCATCTTATATTCAGAAATGTTGCAATAAAAGGTGTAGTTTGTGGGAAGGAGTATGTTTTTCTTAGTAAAAGCAAGAGTTCACAGAAATTTTGGCTTGTGTTTAAATATGTTAATACTGGTAAAATTTTTCGTGAAACAAAATATGGCTAATTTTGGTGCAAAGACAGTAAAAAGTCATCAAAATTAAACAGTACCACACATACAGATTGCTTTATTTTATTGGGGACAAACTATACATTATGTATATTATATAAAAAGTCATCCATTAAAACATTATATATACACTCTAGTATAGTAGTTTATTATAAGCCAAAAATTTGATTAAACACTGTTTGCATTTAATGCATGACTTTTAAAAAGTATACAATGAAATGCCACAAACGTTTTAATTGTTTTTACTTTACTTGTTGGTTAAATGAAAAATGACATTTTGCAAAGATTTGTCCAACTCCTGTTTCAGCTGACAATCACATATGCATAGTGTAAAGCTACACATACTCTTCTACTTTATTGTAATCTATTATTAAGAATCATGTACTGTTATTAAGTTTTTAGCATATAGAAAGTTTAGTAAGAAAATAAGGCTACTAAATGTATATATAAATGGGAAAGGAAAAGGCAATGATGATTAAAACAAGCTAGATTAGTGAATATATAAATAGCATAGGCTAAATGAAATGGTTTAAACTGAAAAAGAATAGCTGATTTTGTATTCTTAGCCTGACTTAATTAACATAGGAAGACTGAAGCATGGTAGTTACCAAAAATATGTTTTGCCAGTTAAAGATCAATAAATTCAAATTTTAAAGCCAAGTTAAAATTAAAAGAAAAAATAAATTACACTTATTTTTAGTTTATTTGTCATACACAATGATATTTAATTAATCCACAGAAGCATAAGGTTATTCAAATTAATTAAGTAAATGAATTCATATGCAGATAACATGTATAAATGTAACTTCTTACAACTTTTTAAAAGAGTTCATACATTTTAAATTTTAGAGTTATTTTTAATAACTAGACTCATGCAATAGTGAATAAAGTTGCTTGATTGTGGTTATGTTCATCTAAAAATGTCAAGGTATTTTACACTAATATTTAAGAACTCATTTGTCTGAAAGAGAGATGATAAATGTTTTCAGACTGACCTTTCCATTTCATTAATTATATTATGTTTAGCTTTTAATTTAAAATATTCTTAATTCAAAGCATAAATAATGATAGAGCTTCCCAATAAGATGACACTATGTTTTTTTCTTCACAAATTTAGAGGGAAATTATTTATTTTTCTCTGAAAAAATTAAATTGAGGATATGAGTGTGTGCAAATTACCTTAGTTCTTTAAATTTGAGTTACAGTCCTATAGCAGCTCATAATTATGTGACAGTGATCAGCACAATACTGCATGTGTGTGTATGCACATGTATACCCATGCATATGTAATGCAGTACTATCAGTCAGGGCAAATAGGCTCTATAAAATTGATCTTGAAGTAGGCAACTAAATGATTTTCTCTCTATTGACATTTTTTAACTCTCCCAAATGAAGGAGAGATTGAGCCTCATTTTTCACATTATTAATAACAAGGTAAAAATATTACACTAATCAAAAACTGAAAATCTGGCTCATTTTTACAGTTGCAGCAGATTGTCTATAGGGCTATTCTTAATAACAGAATAGTATTGTAGACATTGCTGCAATGGAAAGAAACAAAAATGCCTTGCCAGAGAAATTCTACACATCCTTTAAGATTTACTTTAGTGCTAAGTCTCTGTTCTGATTACATAAAATCTGTTTTTAAAAGTAATCATTTTTTTAAAAAAATGTTTGAAAGAAAGGAAATTTTAGGAAAGGAGTATGGCTCGTAAAGTCAGTGGAGGCCTTTGTACATCCAAGAATCTCAGCATTAAACCAGTCAAATGAGCTACAAATCATCAAGCAGCATTTAAGCAATTTTAAGTTAAACAATATATTAAATTATAAATCAAGTGTTGGTATATACGTTTTAGTTTATTAAATTAGTTTCTGTCTTGTCTCTACCAGAGTTATCTCAAGTCACTCTCTAGCCCTCATTTTGACCTCCACCATTTGATTTCTAACATCATTTTCAGCTTATCATCAGTAATTCTATGAGTTTCTAAATATTGACAGCTCTATTGAGGTCCAGAAAAAGTACCTGGATCCTCTTATGAAACTAATATTCTATGCTCAAATAAACCAAACAATCACATGAAACAAACTATCAATAATGTAATAGATATCAATATTGTTTGAAAAGTTTTTTCAAAACAAAATACATAAGGGTGTAAAACACCTACCCAAGTTTGCCTCCCCTAAAAACAAAAAACAAAACAAGCAAACAAAAAACAACTGGATAAAGACGAAATTAGATCAAGAGATTTACAAAAATGGGACCAAGTCTGAGTTTAACATTTTTTCAAGGACAGCAAAAATTTGAATGAATCAGAAGTGTTGATTGGAGTAATAGTGCTATTGATAATAAAAACCTCTAGGACCTTAAAGATGTAATTTTTGAGCACCCTTTTTGTAAGTAAAATTCTACCTACCACAAGAAGTCATTTAGATGTTCATAAAGAAATATGAATAATCTTTTCTTGACATCAGCATTCCAAATAAGGATAGTTCATGATGCAACTATCTTTTATCTTTCTCTACTTTCCCCACAACTTGGGAATCTTTAAAAACTTGCCTTGCACAGGCCAGTGAAGTATCTTTTATTGCTTAATATGTGTATGCTTAGTATGCTTAATATCTGTATATTTTTGTAAATGCTTATATCAATGTATTTTCATATTTCAAATTTCTCCAGGGACTTTATCCGCTTTCTTCGTATTTCACCCCCATCTAAAATCAAGCTAATAAAAAGAACATAAGAAATGTTCATAGCTGATAACAATTTTGAATGATGTATTTATCTGACTTAAACACTTGAGGCTACTAAATATTCTACTTGTTCATAGAACTTAGTATATACTTATATTCTTAGGTCTTTGGCATATGTTAGTTGGTCAAAAATTCTTTTGGGATGGATAGAGTTGCTGAATAAGATTTATTCAATCAAGATGAAGGTGACAGATAAGAGAATTAATATTGCAGCAGTTGAGATAGCTCCTAGCGTAGGAATAAGGACTTCTGTTCCTTCACTAGACTTGATTTTCACAAACAAAAAATGTTGAGACTAACTGAAACTATCAGCACTTACAAACATCATTTAGGTATGAATAAATTAGACATAATACGACACTTTTGACTTTATTGGCAATCACAAAAATAATTTGCCATGCTAATCCTTTTAGTTTGGAGATTGTAGGCCAAACAAGCAGTGTAGCAGGATGTCAGTAGGTATCAGTAGGAGAATGAAGACATTTCTTTTTGGTAATGTATTTCTAGATGTGTTTTTTCTCCCCTCACTCAGTTAAATTCACCCAGAGAAGATGAACTCTTTTATTTTATTCTTTTTAACCCTACAGAGAGATTAGAGAATGCATAATCACACAGTGACAGGTCCCGTTCCAATGTGTTTCTCATTAAATTCTCTGTCGCTCCCTCTGTGGGAAACTGGAAACTTTATCAGATTGTCATGCAGGGAGGTGAATTTCTGCTGAGGAGGCACCACAATGTCTTTTACTCTCCAGAGAGCAATTATTGTTGTGCTTCCTACAGCAGCACTTCATTTTAAGATAGGGCTCTCCTGGCAGGGTACGTGCCTTCCTTAACCTGTTTCCATAATTGGGCATGGGTTATATATTTACATTTTTAAAAAATTGCTAGTTGTCCTATATTTGCCTTAATAAAAGACCCGTGAGAGTGATTGGACCTGTCTATTAGAATAGTACAGGGGTAAGGAGAATTTACAAAGACTTATCTGAAGAAGCATGTGAGACAAGAGTTTAAATTTGGGAAAGGAAAAGCAGCATAAAAGTAGTACATTTTTAGTGAATCCCCCTTTTTTCATGAAGGATGACAAAAGGGCTTAAGTGGCTAAAGCATAACAGTCATCACAATGACTTTGATAAACCCCTTCTGCAGCTGGAACTCCTATAAACTGTGATTAGGAGGGAAATTCATGCTTATTTAACCTGCACATAAGTTATGTCACTGTGTAAGAAAATTGGGTCTGCTCCAAGAGATGGTTTGTTTCACCTTAGGAATCATATCTTAGATGCTTAGCCTTTGCTATCTAGAGAACAAGAGACTAAATGAGAGAAATATGCTTCCGTCGGTGTAGAGCATAATTTGAAAGCTCTCTCTACTCGTCAAGGGAGTTGAATGTTTAATGATGGAAAATCAACTCCATCTAGCAAAACTCAAAGGTCCAAAGGAGCCATCTCAAGCTAAAAGAATAATAATTTCTTGGTCACTAAGGTTGTGTGACAGAAACAACTACTGTATTTCTAGTAAATATATTCAATGTTTATGTAGCCCCTTATGCTATACCTGCATTGTACAGGTATTCTGGAGTAGATTCTAAACACAAAATGTGCTATGAGGGAAAACTTGCATTCTTGCTTATGTTGTCAGGGCAGAGAAACATATCTTTGAATGTTAAATCCAGAGTGCAGTAGGTTAAAAATTGCACTTACTGCTGCCAAAGAATTTACTCTGGTAGGACATTGTTTACCATAATGTATCCAAAAGGGTAAGTTGTAGTTCACATGATGTATTTTGGAATTAATTTGCAAGTTCCTTCTGTGTTCCCTTTAGGAATTTATAGCATGTCTTCATGCTTATTGACTTAGCTGTGTATTTTGAAGGGTGTAAACTTTTTCTATGCTCATTTAAAGACACTAAATATAGGAAAATGATATTTAGGCTTTTTAAGGGAGACCTTAAATTCCATCTGTTACAGCTGAAAAATTGACCTGATAGCTAGAATTGGAAAATCAATGACCATATGATTTCAGGATTTTTCAGCAATTAAAAAATTTGCCCTGTACTTTCCATGGTCCTGTTTATTTTCCAAAACAACGCTAACTACAGCTTAGAAGCAGGTTGTGGATTTAAAAATCAAGATGAGATATGGCCC